TGCAAAAGAATCAACAGAACCAGAAGGCCTCCTGAATCGGGTTTGAGCTCGATCACTATCTCTCTTGTGCTCCATTCCCAATCGCTCTATTTCCTCAGCAGTCTTGGCTATCTCAACCAGGGCATCAAAATTCCTCTCCCGATGAGTAGCGACTCTACTCTTGATCTCATACCTGAGTCCATTCTCAAACCTCAAGCATTTATCTGTCTCCGTATCAACAAGTCTAGAAGCATAACAGCTCAATCAGATGAATTCAACCTCGTAGTCTTTAATAGACATGCTACCCTACTCCATATTCTGAAACTCCTGACGTCGCTCCTGCAGGTATCTCTTTTCGATGTAGCGACTCCGGAATCACATCTTAAAAAGATCCCACGTTAACTGGTTTCTCGGAATACTACCAGAAATCGATTGCCACCATCTGAAACTCTATTTCTTCAACATAGTTAAGACCCCCTTCAACTTCTACTCAGGTATGAGATCCATCTCATCCATAATCCTCTCTGTGTCCTCCAACCAATACTCAACGTATGTCGGAGGTCCACCAGTAATACCCTCGAATAGAACTACACCAGTAGCGACCAAGGAATTTGAAATATCAACCACAATCATATTACTAGGGGCTCTGGCAGCTCTCTGAAACATGCAAAATATAACTCTATTAATGACGTCTTTGTTCATGTCAGTATCCCAATCTCCAGTGACAGAAGGGTCTCTCACAGGAGTAAACTGGTCATCATGAGAAATGGTCAGATCTACTTGCGGAACAGAAGGATCACGTGGTGATATCGGATCATCTATCGTAACAGAAGGTCGAGTGACTCATCCTCGACCACGACCACGTCCTGTCCTGCGACCTCTAGCAGCACTCATCGTTGGATCTATAAAGCTCTACATAAAGAATTTGAAACATATGTCAGATTAGCATTAGGGATCTCGAGAGAACTTTAAATCATAAAATAAGGCGACACGTTTTTTCTTCTTCTTAAAAATCCAAAGTTTATGACCCATATACAGTTCGATTGTTTAAAACTGAAAGCTCTGATACCAACAAATGTAACCCCCCAGACCCGGTCTGTAAGTTAGACTCAAACCTAAGTGGTCACATATCCTATTTAGAGAGATTTTTTAAAACAACTTATAAAACATTACAGTTAATACTAAACAAAATATCGATAATACAAATATATCCAACAAGATAGAAAGATAAATGTCACCACACACAACTGAAAAACATATAGAGATATACATTCGTACAAAATAAAGTAGTTTATCTCCCCTGATGCCAAATCTGCTGCTTACTGTCTGCTGTTATCTGAAAAAGGGTAAATCTATAGAATGAGCTAAAAAGCCTAGTGTGCTTTAAATAGTGTATAAAAACATACATATCAAAATAATTCAGATAAAAAAACAATTTATCAAATACATTTTAATAATATGCTCACTACCCCCATCCAATCACTAAAATGTGTAGGTTCACCTGAACCGTACACCACCTGTACACCAATAAGGCTTAACATGTGCACAAAGCAGAGGAGCCTAGGAAAACTGTAAGGCTTACCCTCGCACACAACAAAGGGACCTGGGAAACTGTAAGGCTTACCTTTGCACACAACAAAGGGACCTGGGAAACTGTAAGGCTTACCTTAGCACACAACAAAGGGACCTGAGAAACTGTAAGGCTTACCTTTGTACACAACAAAGGGACCTGATAATACTTCCTTCAATTATACCCCAATGACAAAAATAAACATGTATCCATTGGAGTAAAAACGGTAATTAATCCATTAAATATGGAAATATTCCATATTTATAAATCATGTACAAAAATACTATAACTATAAACCAGTTTTAGATATATAGTTTAAAACTGTAAGATAACATTTTCAGGAAGCACACCTATAGCAGTTTGAGAAATCAGATAGGGAAACCTATTACTGGGTCTGTCGATCACGCTCTGCTGCAGCGCTAGATCCTACGAATTGGAAAAATTCATATTTAGAATCCTAATATAAATAATCTTAACCTTTTATTAAAAATAATTTACATAAACCTACGGGTAAGTCTCGTAGTACGTAGTTCGGGGTGATTTGACGAACGGACAACACTAGACCTAACTGATCCCCTCTCAGGTGAAACACGAGTACATTCATAAAATATTTTATTGAATTAATTCCTTAATCAACTTTCAAATAAATAATCAAAATGCTAAATTACTAAGCCTTTTGGGTTTACAAGCTCGATTCAGGAATTTCGGGTCAGAATTTTGCAAAACGGACTTCGAAATCGGATTCAGAACGTCGAAAAACATAAAATATGACTTTTTGAAAATTTGAATTCTTGGTCAAAATCAAAGTCAACGGGTTTGACTGACGATATGGAGACTTTCGGGTTCGAATTTTGTGAAACGGATCCCAAAAATAGATTCGGGACGTTAAAAAATATCAGGATATGTATACTCGGAAAAGATTAACGGTCTTTTAATGGCCGATCAAAGTTTTGGTCAAAGGTGGTTAAGATATGATCAACTATTATACGAAAATAGCATCATTTTCAAAATAATTATCAAAATATCACCTTTTTCAAAATAGTTATTAATATATCACTTTTTTTAAAAAAAAAAAACGAAAATAGCATATTTTCAAAAATAATTACCAGAATACCACCATTTTCGAAATAATTACCAAAATACCACCCGGTCAACGGGTCGAGTTGTAACCGGTCAAACCGATTTCAAGCATTGGCCGAGCCTTCTCCACGCGTAGTGGCGGCGTGTGGGACCTCCCCCAGTGTTCTATAATTCACGGAAAAATTTCCAAAAATTATTTTAAGTGATTTCGAGGTACTTACAAAGCTTAGTTCAAATTTTTGAACGGCGGAGAGCTCGATTTCAACAAATCGAAAACTTTGACCGTCTCACCTCCTCACGCGCCGCGGTCGACGGAGACCAAAGATGACACCGACAGACTTGAAACGGCACAAGGAACAGGATGGTGCGGGAGGTGTCGTAAACGGAGCAACGATCGGCGATGAATTTAAGATTTTCTCAGCGATGGAGCTAAAACAACGTCGAGACTTTGACTTGAAATTCACGGCGTTTGACAGTGTTTCACTTCAATTAATTTAAGGGATTTGTTCCTCGCTCGATGACGAACACGATGGTGGTTTTAAAACGACGATCAGAATTCGGACGGCGTCGGGATCATGGTTGGAAGTTGGGTGTTAGAAGGAAGAACAACTTATCAATTTTACTTATGAATTCCCCCCACGCATATCTGATTCAGCTTTTAATATAGTATCTGTCGACATTTTTTGGGTAAATTCAGGGCTTAGTCCCTGAATTTTCCTCAACTCTAAAATATGCTATAAATTTTAAAAACATTCAATTTAGTCCTCTAATTTTCACCAATTTACTTAATTAACCCTTCCAATTTGAATTAAATATTTTTTTTCCAATTTCTGGGTTGTTACATTGATATTACAAAAGGGGAGTAGAATCGTATCTGGCAGTGGTTCTTCGAATCGATCACAAATTTTCGGTCCGTCGTTTGGCTTCCACTCTAGTTGACGTCTCTTGTTTCCACCCCCATGAGAAAGTAGAGAGCAAAAACGAATCCTAGTTAATGTTAGTCGGAGTCATTGCTATGAGCGAGCTTTAATCTTCTTGCTATAAGCAGTGACCATATATAGCATATATAGCATGAAACGTCCATCTTTCCCTTAAGATTCGCAATGGGATAATAAAGATGAAAAGTGTGTTGAGGTTGTCAAACAACCTTGACAGCTTAATGTGCGTGACTCAAACTTGTTTAAAGTACAACAGAAATTGATAAAATAATATTATTTCGGTAAAATAGATATTTAGAAATAGATTCATAAATACCATCAATATCTACTAAAAGAGCAACAACGATAATAAATACAGAAGTTGCGGTCAATAAGATATTTCAATACCTTATACAATTACTTTTATAATTAAATAAATGTGAATAATAAACACAAAGAAAAGAGCTTTTAATTTAAGTTTAATTATTATTATGTAAATTATGAAATTCAAGCCTTTTTTTTTTGCTTTGAAAACTCTCTTTTATCATCCAGTGATTATCACAGTGTTTGAACCTTCCGTCATTCTAATTAATGTTTTTTCAGCTTAAATCATAATAGGTAATCTACCATTAACGTTTATAATCATCCCTCATTTTAAATTAATGTTTTTCAATTCTAAAAAATATTAAAAAATAAATACTATAATATGAGTTATACTAGTCAACTAAACACTAATTCCAAAATTTGAGGTATCAAATAAATTGTAGTGTTATATTTGGTCATAACTGTATTCTATTTATATTATAGAAATAAAATAAAAAAACAAAGAAAAGGATATGACCAAACTAATCATATTGCTTTGGGCACACTCTACCAGATACTCGAAAAATGCCACACACACAAAAAAGAGTAAATCAAATGGGTGTCCCACGTGTCTTTTTCTTTTTATTTTTTTATTCATAGCCCACGTGTCATTTTATTTTTTAATTTTATTGTTGTATCCCACGTGTACTTTCGGTTTGGGTAAGGAAAGATACAGCTTTTGTCAAACGGCGTCGTCTGGGACTTCTAGATTGTTCGTTAACTAATCTTCATAAATCAAAACATTTAATCAAGTACGATGTGGAAATGGTAGAATTAAATTCTGATAATTTTGAATGGTGTAAAATTAAATTTTGACCTTATTTTTTTATTCAAATATATTAATTCATTTTATATTTAGAAATAATTTTCATTAAGTGATAAATAAATTTTTATTTACTTAATATTTTAAATAGATTTGAAATTTGTCAATAGGTTGTTAAACACACGATTAGTAATAAATTCGGGCGATGTTGGGCCCGGTCCGGTTCAAGACTGTCCAACTTAAAAGTCAAGTGTGAATGGGCTCCAGGAAAACCCAACAGAAGGTTCGCGGATTTTGAATTCAGATTTGAGCGAAGAACGAAGATAAGCGAACCCTAGCTGCTAGGTAGTTAAGTTAGATTTGAGCAGGAAGGCTCGACCACGAGGCTTCTTCAAGCTCCAGTTTTGCTCTGCTTAGGGCCAACACGCTCTGATTCATTCTCATCGACTCCACTTCACTTTTCCCTAGCTCTCAGTTCTTCGGTACAATGTCGTTACCTTTTCATTACTTTCATATATATAGTTTTAAATTGTAGGTTCTTTTTTTTCTGATTATCATAATCTCTTGAAAGTAATTGCGGGTAATTGGAGATTAGGTTAAAGAAGGGAAGAAATATGGGAATTTTTAATGTATTTGTTAGGGTTTGCTGTTATTTTGAGTAAGGGAAAATGAAATAATCAATAAAGTGTCTTAGAATCTCATCTCATCTAGTGACACGCATGCTTGGATTATGATAGATGACAAGCGCTTGGTCAGACAGGGGCTTTGGAATGGTACATAGGGGTAGAGAAAGGAAGGGGGAAATTTGTGTGTGTGTGTGTGGTTTTTTTTTTGTTTGTCTTTTTTAATAATTGGATATTGTTGCTCCCTTCTGAAGCTCTGGAAAAATGTTAATGAGAGGATGAGGAGACTTAGTTAAAATTTCGAATTTGGAGCAAATGAGCAATGGAGCTTGTGGATGACAATTTGGAGGAATTTTGACTTGCTTTGCTTCATGTTTTTTTTTGGCTTTGCAATAAGCGTCATTTTATTCTTCTCATTATGGGAGGATGACGAGACCAATTTAACTTTCAAATGTTGGAGCAAAATGGAGCTTGTGGGACACTGCTTACAATTTGGAGGAATTACTGACTTGGTCTGCTTCATAGTTCTTTTATGCAATAATTTTTTTATCATTATCATCTGAGTGGATGCTAGTGATAATGAGATATCTGGGTGGATATTTGTTGCATTATTTTGTATATAGGGAATGGATTGTGGATTCTCTGTTAATTTGATTCTATTATTGTGCATGCAGTGAAATAATTATATTATTTGTTTTCCGTAGTTGAAATGAGCGGTCGCTTCTCTCGCACAATCTATGTTGGCAACCTACCCTCTGATATAAGAGAATGGGAGGTTGAAGATTTTTTCTACAAGGTGCCGCTGAATTTAATATTCTGCCAATGTATTTTTCTTCTATGAAAGAATAAATATAAACATTTCTTCAGCTAGTTTTCATCACAGAAGCAATGTATGTATCTTGTAGTTGTGCTTGATTTTGACGCATGTAATCTGGACTTTATATGAACCACATCATTATTAATGTGTTTGAAGGATCTCTTTACTTTTGATTGATATCTTTTTTTGTTTTCTAATATATGTCTTTCTTATGCAGTATGGTCGTATTTTGGATATTGAGTTGAAGATTCCGCATCACCCTCCATGTTTTTGTTTTGTTGAGGTACATTTTTCATCTCATGTTTTATCTAGGATGCAAAATAAAAAAGTGAAAGTTTCTTATTAAATTGTGTGTTTTGTAGTTTGAGGATCCCCGAGATGCTGAAGATGCTATCAGAGGTCGAGATGGTTATGACTTTGATGGTTGTCGTTTGAGGGTAATGAAAGGCACTTGTTGTTTTCATGTGTATTCCATCTGTGCTTCCTTCCTTAATTGGCTTTTGATTGTAATTGATGTAGGTTGAGCTTGCACATGGTGGTACGGGACAATCCTCAAGTGATCGTCGTGGTGGGTATGGTGGTGGTGCAGCTAAGTTTGGTGTATCATGTCACTCTGAATTTCGAGGTCTGGCTAACTGTTAAACTGTCATTTCTTATTTAGTTTCTATTTGCATTAGCAAATGGTTCTAATGTAGACATTTATTTCCCTGCAGTTATTGTCCGCGGGCTCCCTTCTTCTGCTTCCTGGCAAGATTTGAAGGTTTAGAGAACTTGTAAATCTTGAAACAAGTGTAGGGATTTGTTAATTAAGCTGTAACTCTTACCTATCCATATCCTCTTTTCAGGATCACATGCGAAAAGCTGGTGATGTGTGTTTTGCAGAAATTTCACGTGACAGTGATGGTATGATTTAAGGAGATGTATTGATAAGCTTATACGGTTCATTGTTTACCTTATCCCCTTGATGCCGTCTCTGTTTCTCCTTTTTCTTTTCTCATTTGATGCTGACATCTTGAATTGTAACTTGTTCCAACTCTGTTAGATCTAGCATGTTGCAATTTGATAATTCTTATCATATTATGCGGGACATACTTAAATATATGCTTTGGATGTTCCAACTTCCAACTGGTGATGTTTGTAATTATAAGATCCATTGTTTCTGCTACTTCTCTCTAATATGGTTGTACTTATCTTCTAATTCTGATTGTTTTATGGGCTTTTCCTTTAGGTTGAAACCAATTGAAATTTGAAATAGTTATTGTCTCATCTTGATTTTTCAACTGGATTGGCTTAGTTCTTAGGCCATCGTTTTTTTGAATGAATATATACTTATTTTTATCTCTCTGTTATCCAGGTACTTTTGGTATTGTTGATTTTACCAATTATGATGACATGAAATATGCTGTAAGTGGTTTAGAAAGAACATTTCATACCTCCTTGCCATGAATTTATGCTACTTCAATGCTTGTAATTCAGTGACATGTTTTTAACATCATGCAGATTCGTAAACTTGATGATACCGAGTTTAGAAATCCTTGGGCTAGAGCTTACATTCGGGTAACCTTGCTATGCATTCTTTTATTGTTACTATTTCCCATATTATTGAATGGTTTTGCTATATCCTCATTCCCTTTCATATTCGGCTGAAATATTACTTGCGTAAAATTTTATGAACAAGGTCTATTCCATTATTGATGTGGGATACATGGAGCCATTGATTTGTTTTAGTATGCAAAATTATAGTTTCTACTTTGTGCGTGTTCACACATCTGCAACTAATAGTGCTTGTACCTTTAGCCAAGTAAACACATGAAACGATACGGTTTTACCATCCCTCTATCCTTTCTCTTCTCACACTTTCTGAGAATTTTCACTGGTTAAAATTGCAAAGGTTTTCTTGCACTGTGACCCTACTCTTATGGATACATGGAGCATCATGCACCATGCACCATGCATCGATATATATATATATATATATATATTCCTTTCGTTTTGTGTACAACCTAGAATTTTCAAAATTCACCTCCATTTTTAAGCATTTGGTATTTATTAATTTATATGGACAGGTGAAGAAATACGAGAGCAGCCCCTCTAGAAGTAGAAGTAGAAGCCACAGCGTTAGAAGAGACCGGAGGTATAAACCCTATACTATTCTCTTTCAGCACTTAAACTTTATCCTTAAGATGCACTCCAAAACTCCAACCATTTTATTTCCTGTATGCAGTAAATCAAGGGAAATATCTCCGTCCAAATCACCTGTTAAATCCAGATCTGCCTCTCCTGTTAAGTCACCCAGGTAACTGGGTGTCAACTTGCTCTCAGTTTCTTTGCATTGCTATTCAGTTTTGTTGTTTTCCATATGATTTATGAAACTTCTTCACTTCTATTCTTTCATTCAGAACAAGATCAAGGTCCAAGTCAAGGTCAAGATCTGTATAGGCTAATTCCAGTTTCTGATATTCAATGCGAGTAGTGACCCTTCACATATTTTAATTTCGCATTCCATTTATAAGAAACATGAAACTGAAACTAGACAGGTTTTTTTTTTTCAAATGGCAAGCTTGAAGTAAATCTTATACATGTGGCTGATTATACTTGCAGGCCCGATCGGTGAGCCATTGATGTTCATACCGCATAGAAAACATAAGTCCGATATTGCTTGCAACTTAATGGAGTTCTAGGGTTAGTTTTGTTGAACGTCTTAGCACAGTATAACTGGATACAGTCTATGTGGGCAAGTTTAGCTAGGTGTGGCAGTGTTTCTTGGAGACAAAGCAACTATCTCTGAACGCTAATGAATGAACTAAGTTACCTTTTGTTTCATTTTGATACCATCTCTGAACACTAGTGGACAAGTTAGCTTGATATGTGACACTAACATATTTGTTGGTTTTGTCGCGGTTATTAAATTATGCATGTTGTGGTTGATGATTTTTCTTTTTTGATTTGGTTATTACATTTATTACTTATTACATGCAAAATATTAGAAAGAACTAAAATTTAATAATATAGTATCCTCAAATATATTATTATTAAGCTTTTAATTGAGTTGATATCACTAGTTAATCAAGTGTCGAATTCAGTTATAAAATTATTGTGATATTTTTTTAAAAACAAAATATTAATATCATTATTTATTGTAATAGGATTCTTATATTTTCATGGTTTTATATATTTCTTAAATAAAATAGTTAAAAACTAGGTAAAGTACACAAATGGTCCCTAAATACTATTAAAAGTTACAAAATGATCTTTTGATTATAGAATGTTGTTTTGTTCAATCATTTGACTGTTAAAAGTTATAAAATGGTCATTCGATTGTTATCGATTTTTTAATAGAAAAAGAGGAGTTTGGAACATATGAAAAGACATAATTATATTGTAACTTTTAATAGTCGGATATTCAATAAAGTAACACCCTATAGTCGAAGGATTCAATAAAATAATATTTTATTGTCGAGACACTATTTTTCTATTTTATCCTAAAATTCATTTAAAAAATGAGTAAAATATGACTATAAATTTATAGACCACTCAACATATGATCGTTGGATAAATTTTAGAAAAAAATATTTTTATACAACATTTTCTTTCTCTTATAGTGAGGTTTAAGGGAAGTTTTGTTGTGCGGCGCATAAAAAATGGCTAAAAAATAGCGTGACCGGTTAAAATTTAGACTGGTTATGTTATATCATTTAACCGGAAATATTATCAAGCACAATAACATATTAGGTAGCGCTTATATAATGTAATAGGTAGCGCTTATATAATGTAATAAGTAGCGCTTATATTGACCTATTTTCTCATAAAATCAGTAAATTTAAACCAGTTACATTATAAATTGACCTATTACATTATAAATATTGGTTTTGATGTTTTCGGGATCGATATAATTTTAAATGTATCGACACTTTATGCGTGCAACTCGTTTGTGTTTTATTTTGGAAAAAAGTATCGACACATATTTAAAGAGTGTCGATACATAATGTAGACCTATTTGCTAATTAACCGATATATTTTAACCGGTTACATTGTAAATTTACCTGTTACATAATAATTATCGATTTCGATGTTTCGAGGATCGATACTTTTTACAAATGTATCGACACTTTATGCGTACACCTCGTTTGCCATTCATTTTGGAAAAATGTATCGACACAAATTAAAAAAGTGTCGATACTTTATGTTGACCTATTCTCTCATGAACCCGATATATTTCTACCGGTTACATTGGAAATTTACCTATTACATTATAATTATCGGTCTCTCTGATTTTGGGATTGATACTTGTTATAAATGTATCGACACAAAATCTAACAGTGTCGATACTTTATGTTAACCTATTTTATAATTAAATAGTATATGTATACTGGTTACATTGTCAATTTACCTATTACATTATAATTATTTGTAATTAAAATAGTCTAATTTTACCACCTACATTGTAATTTTACCTATTACTTTAAAGTTATTGAATTCTGTAGTTATTGTACATACCTGAATATGTCCTGCAAATTTAATATTGTACCCACCCTTCAACTACCACCACTACCAATACCACATCCTATTGAAAGCACCACTGAAACATGTTGTTCAATGAACCTTTACTTACATACATCTCCATCAACTTCTGTTGGGACCACTGAAATTGCACAACAAAATTTTTGCCATGAATCATACTGATGCAGACAATGTTAAGCCAACCGAGGAATGCCATAAAGTACATAATGTTGATGAATCTGACATATTGGTTGGTAAGCTCTTTTCTTCACATGATCAAGCTTGGTACTTTTACAAGGAATTCGCACGGGAACATGGGCTTAGTGCACGTCGGGGAACAACACGGCTTGACATGGAAGAGAATGTGAAGACACAAGAATTTTGTTGTTCCAAAGAAGGTTATCGAGTATCAAAAGTCAATACCGTTGATCGTCAATGTGCTCATATGCCAATCACAAGAACAAGATGCAAGGCTAGAATCGTAGTTACAACAACAAATACAAACGATCAGTGTGTTATAAGTAAGTCTTATCAGAAACATAATCATGCATTGTGCACTCCTGCTATGACACCATTTATGCGTTCTAATAGAGCTGTAAGTAAGGCTGATACCGATGAGGCAACATCATTGAAAGAGGTTGGTGTTGGCACGTCACAAGTAATGAACTATTTAACGCAGCAGGCAGGGGGCTATCATAATGTTGGATTTACACATAAAGACCTCTACAATGCACTTCAAAGAGGCAAACCAAAGCAAATCGTCGATGGGGATGTGAATGCGCTTATTGCTTACTTTGATTATAAGAAACATGATGATCCCGGGTTTTTTGTGGCATACTCGGTAGACAAATCAGAGGCGTTGCATAATCTTATTTGGTCGGATTCTACATTGAGATCAGATTACATATGCTTCGGTGATCTAATTGCGTTTGACACAACGTACAAAGATAATTTGTATGGTCGACCAATTATGCCTATTGTCGGTGTCAATTATCACCATAACATAATTGTGTTTGCTACTGCCATAATCGCTGACGAGACGTCCCAATCTTTCGAGTGGGTGCTACAGAATTTTTTAGAAGCCATGATGAACAAATCGCCTATTTCAATTGTCACCGATGGGGATAGGGAAATGCAGAGGGTTATCAAATTTGTTATCCCTAATGCTAAGCACATATTATGTTCTTGGCATCTTTCTCGCAATGCACAAGCTAACATTGGTAACCCAAAATTTACAACAATATTCTCAAAATGCATGGTTTCCTTGTGGACATCCGACGAATTTGATATTCAACGTCGAAAAGCATCCATGGGTGATTGAGAAGGGAAATACTCGGCACTTATGGGCACAAGCATATCTAACCGGTCATTTCTTTGCTAATATTCGCTCAACACAAAGGTGCGAGTCTATGAATGCTTCACTCGCAATTGCACTGAAACACAAGAAGACATATTTAAATGTTGTTCGTGTAATTGAAGATGGAATTAGTAGAATGCGTCTGAACGAGTTGAAAGCGGATTACTTAAGTTCCCAGACGAAGCCCTTCCAGATCATAAAACTGGTTGAATTTGAAAGTCATGCTTCTGAGATTTATACGCGCGAATCTGTTCATGCGTTCCAAGAAGAACTTCAACGGGAGACATTGTACCAGATTTAGGAAGAGATTCAGTCCTTATCAGATGAATGCCAATATTTTTATTTGAAAAAGTACAAAGAAAAAAATAGGACATTTGAAATTAGTTTTGATTTTTATACGAAAACCTTAAATTGCTCATGCAGAAAATTCGAGACAGTTGGACTTCCATGTCACCATCAACTTCACGTTTTGAAGCACTTGGATTACACATATTTGCTCGGGTCTTTGATTCAAAGTAGGTGGACTAAGGATGCGAAGGCTTCTGCACCCAGTTTTGTTGATTTGAATGTGCCTCCAGAAATAATGCAAATGGCAAGGTTTGCTTCTCTATGTGCAACAACAAGTATGTTATGCTATGCTGCATCAAAGACAGACGCGTCTTTCAAAACCGCAAGAGATGAGATGAAAAGATTAATAGAAGAATTTGAGAACTCGTTTGGTATGAATGATTCAGTCAATCGGAGCAACGTATTAAACAACGTTCGCGACCCTCAATGAAAACAACGCAAGAGAAAAGAAGTAACAAAGAACAAGGTCGAGAAGAAAATTAGGCGATGTGGGTTCTGCAACGGTGAGGGACATAACAAACTAACATGTCCTCAAGTCAAGCTGGGTTTGAATACAAGCACGCAGCCTACTTCAACTGATTTTTTGAAGACGAAATGGACTGGTCATTCAGTCCCGCACATGATGTTAGAGACATTTGGAATAATGCAGACAACAATCTCCATATATCTTAAGTATCAACATGACTCATACTGTGTGTAAGAAACTGTTGAGTTAATCGATTGACAGAATTGGCCAAGAGGGGGTGAATTGGCAATTAAAAATTTGGTGGAAGCTTTTGCAGAAAATTGAAAGTAATTGCACAGCGATTTAGAGTGGTTCGACTTTCTCAATCAAAGTCTACGTCCAATACCTTAGCTATCCACACTAAGGATTTTCCAACAAATTCACTAATTTGTTCTTTCTTTTGAGGCCAAAGAGATAACCTTACAACACCCTCAAGAATATACCCCAATTCTTGAGAACACTCTTTCCCAAAGAGAAGATTACAAATTTGCAAACTTACAAGGAAAACCTCACAAGGTAAGATGTTTGCACAATTCTATAACAAGAAAAGAACACTCAAAGATAATTACAAATGAGCACAAATGGTGTTCTTGAAAGCAAAATAAATATTGAAAGGAAAATTGGCTTGATTTGCACAAACTTGGTGTTTGATGCTTTCTCTCTTGTTTCTCTATAATTTCTTATTGATCAAGGGCTTCAGAACTTGTTTAAATACACATTGAATCACTTCTGAACATTGGGGATGATTAGTGAAGATTATATAGCCGTTTTAGTGTGAAAACAATTAATAAAACAGCTTGGAGCGTGGGGGAATCGGTACCCCCTATGGGGAATCGGTTCCCTAAGTGTAAAATTCAAATATTTCGACCGTTATACAAGGGGGGAATCGGTATCCCCTGGGGGGAATCGGTTCCTTCCGAGCATACTGGAATTCTCGGAGCCAAACCATTCAGGGGGGAATCGGTACCCCCTTAGGGGGAATCGGTTCCCTCTGAGCAATCTGGAATTTTTGGTTTTGAAATGGTTCGAAATACTTTGTAAAATTATTTTTGAAATTGTTTTAAGATTAAAACTTAATTTTACACTTTGAGTAAGGATTAAAAATGATCTTTGAAAAATTTGGAGTAATGTTCTGATATTCGAATAATTCTATCGAATATAC